AAGTGATCTGTAGAACAGATGCCACAAATCGGCAGTCCTGAATCAGATTACAGATTTTGTAGTTGCAAATTTGGGACTCTCACCTTTTCCCCACAACTTTAGAAAAGGGACCTTTGTTCTGCGTTATCATTCTGATCGCATGATTTGATTTTGATGGTAAATATGTGAAAAGCTTGCGTGACGTTTCTGTGATCATAAAATTCATTTGGGGAGGCAGAAATGCATATTGCAATTAGACTTGTGAAATGTTCAGATGTGTGCCATATGGGGAATTTTTGGCCTTTCTATCATCGTCAGCTCTTTCTGGCATCACAGTTGCATTTATTATGTCCTTTGCTTCTAAGGTATAAAACTTGGCTTTCTGCTGTTCGGATGTGAATATGCCGCATTTTGCTTATTAAGTGAAGATAAGGTTCCTTAGGGACGCGGGTGGCGCTGTGGGTAAAACCTCAGCGCCTAGGACTTGCCGATCGCATGGTCGGCGGTTCGAATCCCCGCGGCGCGGTGTGCTCCCGTCGTTCGGTCCCAGCGCCTGCCAACCTAGCAGTTTGAAAGCACTCCCGGGTGCAAGTAGATAAATAGGGACCGCTTACCAGCAGGAAGGTAAACGGTGTTCCGTGTGCTGCGCTGGCTCGCCAGAGCAGCGATGTCACACTGACCACGTGACCCGGAAGTGTCTGCGGACAGCGCTGGCTCCCGGCCTATAGAGTGAGATGAGCGCACAACCCTAGAGTCTGGCAAGACTGGTTCGTACGGGCAGGGGTACCTTTACCTTTAAGGTTCCTAAGAAAAAGAAGTTTAATGAACTAAAAGTTTTGCAGAATACGGTATCAAATACACCACGATTCAAGGAGGGGCAGTAAATAGACCTGCATTGACACAACTGTTATTTTCACAGAGAAGTTCATTTCCCTTAAGTTCTGTTTTGTAAAGCAGGGAGGGAAAACTTTCAGCCCTGCAGAAGTTGTTGGACTCTAAATCCCATCAGCCCCAGCCAGCATGGCCAACAGTCAGAGATGGGAGGAGCTGTTCAACAACATCAGGAGGGTCATACTTTACCATCCCTGTCATGAAATGTTTAGTTTCTCATTGAGGAAGGGTTTTTTTGTGTTGTAATTTTTGAGTCCAAGATCTAAAAGAAAAAGCAAAGAAGGCCCTTCAACATGATTTGTTGCTGCTTGCTTCCTCCAACCAAATTGTTGTCCATTCCCTCTTGACTGCATCTCCTACTCTTGAAAGAAAATAACTTCACAGCTACATATCACTTTCAGTACATATATATGAATTAAGAGTACAACTTAATGGCTTGGATCCTGAATTCCTTTCCATGGACCTAACAGGGCTCTGTTAACAGACTCTACGCATTTCTCAGTGTACCCTGAAAACATGAAACAGGGTTGGGGGAATCTTCTGAACAGAATGACATTATGTTATGGGGGTGCTTCAACAGAAATAGGTAATGGGGAGCATTCTCCTTTCACAAACAGAACTAATTCCACTTGCCCAACACTGAACTTCTGATCCTATGAAGCTAGTAATAACGTGAATTTTAAAGTTTTAATCAATATTATCTTTCTCTCAGTCTGCGAAGTATTTGTAATGAAACCCTTTCTTTCCCAACAATTCCTTTCCTTTCAGTGCACGAAGGAAATGGGTCGAGTTATGTTAGTTTTGTTCTCAGAGTGTTGTTACTGTACTCACAGGTGTGAAGAGTGGGGAAGCTGAGGAGAGAAAATATGGATTTAACTTGTTTAAAATATTTTAAGCGTAGCTAAACCTTTAATTTAGCATAGCTAAACCTTGAATTATGGTGCTGGAGGAGACTCTTGAGAGTCCCATGGACTGCAAGAAGATCAAACCTATTCATTCTTAAGGAAATCAGCCCTAAGTGCTCATTGGAAGGACAGGTCCTGAAGTTGAGGCTCCAGTACTTTAGCCTCCTCATGAGAAGAGAAGACTCCCTGGAAAAGACCCTGATGTTGGGAAAGATGGAGGGCACAAGGAGAAGGGGACGACACAGGAAGAGATGGTTGGACAGTGTTCTCGAAGCTACCAACATGAGTCTGACTAAACTGCGGGAGGCAGTGGAAGACAGGAGTGCCCGGCGTGCTCTGGTCCATGGGGTCCCGAAGAGTCGGACACGACTAAACAACTAAACAACAACAACAAACATTTAATGAGATTTTAAATCAAGGTTAAAGCCAGTGTTGATCTGATACTGCAATCCAGACCCGGCTTTACACTCCCATTGGCGTCTGCCTGCGACTCTGTTTGTGCCAAGCTCCCTATTCTGCATTGCTGCGGCAGGTAGAAGTTTCGTGGGTGGCATCTCACAGATGTGGTGAAATGTGGTCCTGAACAGACAGGCAGTGTCTTATACGGCACGGTGTGGGAAGTCAAACTAGGACTGAAGCACACGTAAGGTCTGCATTAGTGCGTTTTGCTAGGGCTGCTGTATAATCAGTTTTGCAAAAAAAAGGAGTTAACATTAATCCAGGGCAGTCCTTGGCATTCATGAAACAGCTGCTGCTGGTGGCCCTGACAGAGGGCATTCCCAGCCGCAGAGAGGCTGGGTTGGCCCAGGATCACATGACTGCATAGGCCTGGGTTCAGTTCCAGAGCCTGCTCTGGAATGGTGCATCAGTTTGCCTGCCCCTGACCTGTGTGAGTTGATGGGCTGCTAAGTCCTGCTGCCACTTGTCCGGAGCTCAAAATGTGCCCAAAGCGGCTGCTTTTTCTTTCAGACAAATTCTTAGTGAGGCTAAACTACTTCACAGATTTTCTACATTGTACATTTACCTTCCGATTTTTAGACAGGACAGATTACGTCTTTTTTTTTTTTTTTTGCATTTCATGCACAGTTAATTTATTATGTGATTGGAATGATTTTGGTTTACTCAGCATGTTAGCATACTTGTCCAAATATAATGATGATTGTCCTTTTCCCTCTCAGATGAAAATGTTAGGGCTGAAAGCTGTCAAATGCTGTGAGGTAAACTGGTGCAGAAGCGATTTTTTAAAATATTTTTTTTAAAAAAGAGTATTTTGTGGAGAGAACCTTGTCAGTCAGAGGAAACATTGATACAAAATGGCAAGAGAGTACAAATAATAAAACCGTTGTATGGAGTTTTCTGCATTTGATTTTTAGAGGGCTCCATTTGGAGAAATATCCAACAATAAATGCTATACAAAATAAGATCCTGCATTTTTAACAGAAGGATGAGTAACATTTGATATCTTGCCTGTTTTCAGCAATATTTCTTTATTTTTTTCATAATAAAATGTTTCAAGAGTAATACATGAAATGATTTAAACAGAAAATGTTACCAGCAGGAGCTAAAACAAACAAACAAAAAAAGGATAATAAAATGTTCCACAAATCTATTGACAAGCTGGAATGTGTTCAGAAGAGGGTGACCAAGATGATCAAGGGTTTGGAAACTAAGCCTTATGAGGAACGGTTGAGAGAGTTGGGTACGTTTAGTGGGCTAAGAGAAGACTGAGAGGACATATTATAGTTGTCACAGGAGTGATGGGGGGACATTTCTGCCTAAGAGCAATGACACATTATCAAGTCCTGTCACTCTGGGGAAGTGGAAGTGTGGAAGGTGGAAGGAACTCCCCAAGTTGGCCATTGTGTGGTATTCAGTTTTATTCGGTGTAGACGCAATGAAATTAATGAACATGACTAAGTTAGATACATTGATTTCAGTGAGTCAACTCTTAAGGAAAAACTTAGCTGAAGGTATTTTGAAATACCTTTTCAAAAAGGTAGAGGGGGGGGGGCACCACTGCAGCCCTTTGGCCACCTTATGTATATTTATTTTATTTTTTAAAAACAAATTTTGCTTTTGTGTTTCCCTACGTATTTTAAGCATATGCCATTAGAAATCCGCACAGAAGCAGGAAGAGGCACACTGGACTTTAATGGGTCCATTCATTTCTAGTGCTCAGTGATCACCACCCCTTTTTTTAGCGGGTGGAGAGCGTTCCACTGAAACTTTCATACTGGAAACAGTTCCATTGGGCCTCATTGGCTTACTTGTCTGACCCTAAACTCCCTATTTTTGCATGCCACATTTTGAGATTCCTAAATAAGAACACAAGAACTTGATATTACCTTATAGAGAGCTAGGCCTTCAGTCCATGCAGCTCAATCCATTGTCTACCCTGACTTGTAGCAGCTATTCAGGGTTTCAGACAAGGAAACTGATGAATCTGGGATCTTGAGTTATGGCACTTCCCTATACAGTAGAACCTCAGGTTAAGAACTTAATTTGTTCTGGAGGCCTGTTCTTAACCTGAAACTGTTCTTAACCTGAAGCACCACTTTAACTAATGGGGCCTCCTGCTGCTGCCGTGCTGCCGGAGTACAATTTCTGTTCTCATCCTGAAGCAAAGTTCTTAACCTGAAGCACTATTTCTGGTTTAGTGGAGTCTGTAACCTGAAGCATCTGTAACCTGAAGTGTATGTAACCCAAGATATCACCGTATTAACCTTCTACCAGATTTTTCTCACTTATCAGCTCTCTATAGCAAGCATAATACAGTCGTACCTTGGAAGTCAAACGGAATCAGTTCCAGAAGTCCGTTCGACTTCCAAAACGTTCAGAAACCAAAGCGCCACTTCTGATTGGCTGCAGCCAATCGGAAGCTGTGGAAGCCCCATCAGACGTTCGGCTTCAAAAATAACATTTACAAACTGAACAATCATTTCCGAGTTTGTGGCATTCAGGAGCCAAAATGTCCGAGTTCCAGGGCATTCGGGATCCAAGGTATATATTTGAAAAGCAAAAACAAATGTTAAACTTTCAGGGTTTATCCAGAAAGTTACTTGCTGTTTACCAGCTTTATTTTAGCTTGTTTCTAAACCCTTTACTGCTCGCTTGTGGGTTAAAATATTTTATTTATTTATTTTTGCTCATAGAAGGCAATAGAAACTGTAAGCTTGGATTAAAAAAAAATCTTTATTTTATTTTCTTTTGGTATTATTTCCTTAGACGCTTCAAAAGTGAATCATTCTCCCACTGTGTTTTCGACAACTTGGCTCATGGCTTCATTTTGATGGAAGATTGTTTGTGAAGGCAGAGCCGTTGGAATTAAAGTTCGTTCCCATTTTCTTATACCAATAATATTTGTGCGGCACCTTTGATCTTTCTTGAATGTTCTTCAAACATCCACGTCTTAAGAACCTGCATACAAGGCTGCTTGCCGAGATCAAAATATTTTTTATGCATGTCCTCAAATAGCTTGCCTGTGTGTGGTATGCCAGCGAAACGCAGTGAAGAAAATAAACGAGCTCTTCCTCATTATGATCCTTTCTGATTTTATTAAATATTTTCTTCCCACTCTTCTGCTTAATGATGAAGTACAAATTACCTTATTTGTGTCAGTTTTAAAGAAGTTATCTCCTGTGTGCCTTTTGGATGGGGCAGACTAAACGTGAAGAAATATACCGTATTTTTCGCTCTATAACACGCACCTGACCATAACACGCACATCGTTTTTAGAGGAGGAAAACAAGAAACACATTGCAGCCCCAGGCAACAGTGGGTGCGTGATTTTTTTGGTGCAGGCTGTAGCCATGGACATGCTATGTGATCTGATGGTGAATTTGGGGTGACCCAATGCAAAGATCCTGAGGATCCATGTTGATCTATGCTTTGTAACCACATTTTAAGTGGGGAGAGAAGGAAAAACAAAGAAGGGACATGAGAAGGGTGTGCAGAGAAGCAGCTGGCTAAGAATGCTGGAGAGGGATTTGGGGTGGGAGGAAAGAAAGGCAAAAGTTCCCCCCCAAGCCAGCCATCTCTCTCTCTCTCTCTCTCTCTCTCTCTCTCTCTCTCTCTCCCTCCCTCCCTCCCTCCCTCCCTCCCCCTCTCTCTCCCTCCCCCCCTCTCTCCCTCTCCCCCCCCTCTCCCTCTCCCTCCCCCACTCTCTCTCCCTCTCCCCCAGCAGCACCGGAGCACAGAGAGGAATTAGAAAGAACTACTCTCTGCTTGCCTGGAGGGGAGGGGCTTTCCCTGCTCTTTGTTCCGTTTCAGCAATCACAGCAACGAAACAGAGGAGGGTGGGCAGTAAGACCCTGAGGCAGAATGCAGGAAAGCTGCCACTTCCTCTTTTCAGGTTTCCCTTCTCCGTGACTCGCGGTTTGACTTTTGCTTGATTTTTTGGCTCCAGGGACCACACATTCGCTCTATAACACGCACAGACATTTCCCCTTCCTTTTTAGGAGAAAAAATCTGCGTGTTATAGAGCGAAAAATACGGTATGTTAAAAAAGAGATCACTTAATGATCTTTGGTGGAAAACGTGCTTAGGCAGTAGCTACATGAGTTGTGTCTGAGAACCACATTCCCTTTTGGAGCCAGTGTGGTGTAGTGGTTAAGAGCGGTGGACTCGTAATCTGGTGAACTGGGTTCGCTTCCCCGCTCCTCCATATGCAGCTGCTGGGTGACCTTGGGATAGTCACACTTCTCTGAAGTCTCTCAGCCTCACTCACCTCACAGTGTTTGTTGTGGTGGAGGAAGGGAAAGGAGAATGTTAGCCACTTTGAGACTCCTTAGGGTAGTGATAAAGCAGGATATCAAATCCAAACTCTTCTTCAGTCACCCGAGGTCCACATGCCAAGGGTAGGAGGGCCAGAGGAAAAAGGGAGCAGAGCAGTGCAAACAACTTTTACCTTTCTACAGTTGCCTAGTTTCTGCAAAACATAGGGTCATAGAATCTTAGAGTTGGAAGGGATCCAAAAGTCATCTAGTCCAGGAATCTCAACTAAAGCATCCATGACAGTTGACCATCCAACCTCTGCTTAAAAATCTCCAAGGAAGTTTGTTTGTTTGTTTGTTTTTAAAAAAGAGGTTGCACCCCCCTCTCTAGCCTCCATCCAGGCAAGTATTATCATAGTTCAAGGACACTTTTCTACCAGACAAAAACAATTCAGTGGAAAACAGAGCTAGTTCTGGTCTGGAGGTAGGAATGTGCCTGAGAAGAATTTCAAGGGTGTGTGAGAGAGAAAGACCTTGGAGGGCTGCTTTTGGCCCCTCAGCCTGAGGTTCCCATCCCTGGTATAACTGAGTAGAAAGCATTGTTGGCATTCATCTGTCTCTAGAGACAATGGAGGGTGCTTCTGGGGGTGAAGTCAAACTGCTGTGTTAGCAGCACCGGTGACCTCCCTGGATGCACAGACCTGTGTATGGAAGTCCTGGGCTGCCCAAATGACAGGGCCCCCTCCTCTCGGACTCACTGATGTGGTCCAAAGGAAAGCACAGCAGTTGGTTTGGCACCAGCTTGGGTGTGGCCACTGTCACATGCTGACAGCTTCTAAGAGCCCCTCCATTTATGTCACTGAAGGGGACCAAACAGCATATGCAAGAGGAATGACTATGTGGATTGACTCTTTCTATCATCATGAATGTGACTGGTGACACATATGTGTCCTCCGAATGCAGATTGGAGAGAATGGGGAACTTTGGAGGACATTGTTTGAATGTTAAAATCTTTGACACATATCAGTGAAATGTCTATCCAGGGCGTGTGTTTATCCTTTGACCCCACAGAGCTAATCTTTTTCTTGATTTGGCTGTTGCTTTGGGGCCTCTTTCGTTCTGTTCTGCCCCCAGCCCACTCCCAGCTTCTGTTTCTGTCTTATTCAGATTTTTTATTTGTAACTTGTTTTTGGATTTTACGCTTATCAGTTGTGCTGCAGATCTGCTTAGTTTCAAATGGCAGCTATAATGCTTCAACAAGTAAATCAGATTATGTTTTCAAAGCATTTGTGACCATTACAATGGTTGGTTTATTAAAGTAACACTCTTTGTTTTATTTACAGGTGTCAATATTTACAGGGCTCAGCCTGACCGCCTGCTCCTTCTGGCAAATGATATGATGTCAGAAAGAAATAATCTCACTTACCAGAATCTTGGGACAGGTATGAGTTGTGTCATTTATATTTAGAGGGATGTTTACTTAACACAGGGGAGGAAGCGCTACAGTGAATGGATTCTTTTTTGGCAGTGTGTGTACCCATGTTTTTTGAATGTGAGAGTCAGAGAGAAAGAGAGAGAATGGGAGGATGAGTGAGATGTGCTTTTGTGTGAGTGGAAATGAATTGATGTACACTTCAGGCTCTAGCCAAGCTCAGTTTTGGCTTCAGACTCACCTGCCACTGGCATATGCTTCTGTGAGGAAAATGTCCCCCACCTCGGTCATAACATTTAATGGTTCTGGTACTGTTTAAATGTTGATGCCCAACTCTGCTGTACAATTCTGTCTCCACCCCCATAATTCAGCCTAGACACTGAGGTCCAGCTCCGAGAGCCTTCTGGTGGTTCCCTCCCTGCGAGAAGTGAGGTTACAGGGAACCAGGCAGAAGGCCTTCTCGGTGGTGGCCTGTGGAACACAATCCCATCAAAGAAATAAACAACTATCTGACTTTTAGAAGACATCTGAAGGCAGCCCTGTTTAGGGAAGTTTTTAATGTTTGATGTTTTAATATTCTCTTGCAAGCCGCCCAGAGGGGCTGGGGGAAACCAGCCAGATGGGCGGGGTAGAAATAATAAATTCTTCTTCTTCTTCTTCTTCTTCTTCTTCTTCTTCTTCTTCTTCTTCTTCTTCTTCTTCTTCTTCTTCTTCTTCAGGTTCTTCAGTAATTCACAAAATAAACCTGCACATGCTTTTTCAAAAGTGAGTCCTGTATGCTCTGTGAGGCTTATTCCTCAGTAGATGTGTTTAGTATTGCAACCTCGCGTATGCCACTGTGGTCTGCTGCAGGAAAACAAGCTTCATTTGGTTAGTCTTTCTGTTCAATAATGCTGAGTCTCCCAATTAGCTACCTATTTTAAGAAACCGGACAAGTAGGAAAAAGACAATGTATCCGTATAGCTTTAACTAGCAAATCCAGCCTATACAGATGAGACAGGCACTCTGTAATGAAAGCTAATCAATTTCAACTCTGGCTGACCTTCAGCTGGAAAAGGTTCTTCTTGCACCTATGAAAACAAACTGTTTTATCTGTGCTACGTTGGGAGTGCCAATAAAACCATCTCAGAAGTCATACTTCAGCAGGGAACTCCATATCAGAAACAGCTTAAATGGAGTCTAAATTTAAAAAATAAATGTAGATATGTGATCAGTGTGGTAAGGAGAAATGTGCACTTATTAACAGGAAATATTGCATTAACTTTCTGTGTTGCTAAATCGTCTTGAAAAATCCATAGCTTTTAGCTGGAACCAAATCTCAGTCCCACAAACCTGCTTTGGCTACCTTAGTTCAGCTCTAGAACAAATGATGTGCTTTTCTGAACATATATTTTACCATCTACCACATTTGAAGTTAAGGGGGAGAGTTTTCCATTTCAGGGCAATTTTCCAGATCTTTATGGGTTTGCTGGCATGTTTGTCAAAGTTAAGTGTGCGGTTGGTCAAGAAGGGGGAAGTAGCAGAAACTTTCTTAGGCAATGGGCATCTGGTTGTGGATTGCTGGGATATTAAACATCCAGGCTCCAGTCCTTAGGTGGCTGGTATGTGAAGCTGCACATAATAACTCTAGCAGTTGAATCAAATTGTTCTTCTGCGTGTTAGGTGGAGTAATGGAAGATACTTGCCAATGAATAAATTTTTCCATGTGCTTTGACTCCCTTTCACAGATGGATAGTCTTTTGTATCACCACTGATAAATCTAAACTGTGTTTGACAAACTTTCAGGGGTTCAGGGGGAAATGCTGTCTGTTTTGTTAACTTGAAAACCTAGGTCCTTCCATCTAAGATTACAGGCCATGCTTAGGCAAAACAAACAGGTTCCTTCATAGTTGGAAAACAGATATAAAGAGAAACAAAGCAATTTTATACAAACCGAACTGGAGATTAGTTTTAGGTGGTTTATTAGGTTAAAAAAAAGTAATAAGCTTCAGCTCTGTTTCTACAGAAACTTCATATACCAAGGAACCTGTCTGCTTTTGCTATTGATGGAGACCGAGACCTGGGGCATAGGAATTTTAAAATATATTTTCAAAATATGTAAAATCATATAGAGTGGTACCTTGATTCTCAAACTTTAACCGTTCAGGAAGTCCGTTCCAAAACCAAAGCATTCCAAAACCAAGGCGCACTTTCCCATAGAAAGTAATGCAAAATGGATTAATCCATTCCAGATTTTTAAAAACAACCCCTAAAACATCAATTTAATATGAATTTTACTATCTAACAAGACCATTGATTCATAAAATGGAAACAATAAACAATGTACTGCAGACGCACAATCAATCGATCAGTAGCTGAACTGGGTTCCACACAGTCACATAAACAAAACAAAAAAGGGCCGCAAAAACAAAAACTCAAAATAAAGAGCAAAAACAGACAGGCCTCAGCTTAACACTCAAAATAGAAGTGTGGTACTCAAAACAGAAGTGTGGCACTCAAAATGGAGCATGTTTGGCTTCCGAAAGAAGTTCACAAACTGGAACACTTACTTCCGGGTTTGCAGTGTTTGGGTTCCAAGTTGTTTGCGTACCAAGGCGTTTGAGAACTAGCTGCTGCCATCCCTGATACAGGCAGGATTGCACTACATAGTTCCTGTTGTACCATTTATTAGAAATGACATCCCATTAAGTATGAGAAACTTTGAGACTTCAGGTTGGATTGTGCTTCTTGGCAGGCAGGTGCAAAATAAAATACTTCTCCATGATAGTATTTTGATTGGAACTGTATTCATATTATAAAACATGAGTTTTTGTTCAAAGTCACTTTGCCAGCTTACTAAAACTGCCAGCTGAATCCAGAGAGTTTTGGAAAAGGAACAGCATAGATTGTGAATCATGCTACTATGACCTTTGCCAGTAATCCCATATAATTCTGCTATCTCGGCAAGATGAGAGACTTCATTAGGGGAGGGTATAAAGTGATTAGAGTGTTGGATTAGAACCTGGAAGACAAGGGTTTAAATCTCACCTCGGCCAGGAAGCTCGCTGGACCAGTCACTTTTTCTCAATCTGACCTACTTTTCAGGGGTGTTGTGAGAATAAAATGGAAGCCAGGAGAACCCATGTACACTCCCTTTTGCTTTTTGGAGGAAAAGTGGAATCTGAATGTAATAAATTTAATAATGTGGTCTGATCACCAAAGAAACTCTGGGTAATCTGGAAGATTTAGACGGGCCAATGGTACCTGTGACCCAGCAAAGCCTAATGAAACTTACCACCCATATACAGTAGCCAGTCAGAGCTTTAACCATCCAGCCCTTGTACCCCATTTCTGCAGGCAGGCAGGCAGCTAAAACAGGTTATTGTGTCCCTGGTGGGTCATTGTACATTGCTGATTTGGTAGAAACACATGCTGGGCAAGTCTGGTGTAGTTATTGCTTCCACTACATTGAGATAACCCTCTTCTCCACCTTGATTTTTCTTACAAGGTGGTTATTTGAAACCTCCCCGAATTTTTATAAAGTACTTTGAAACACATTCCCTGAAAGTAACAATCATTATTGGATTATATGACCATATTTACTAGAAAGGCATTATGGATTTCATGCAATGTGAGTTTCTGCACATGAATTGGTAATCTGATTGCAGGTTGAATGCCAAATAATTCACTTGCTGAAACTTTTTTCTTTTCCTTCTCTTCCTCCTTCTGCTTTCCTTCAGATGCCAGTAAAATGATGGAAGAGTACGGTCACGTGCAAAACCAGGTGGAATTACAAAATCCCAATTTAGGGAAGGAGGGAGTGATGAATTCCCTTGAAAATGATCTCCAGGATATAATGGACAGGCTTAACCAGAAAAAAAATTCGCCGAGTCTGAGGTTCAAGGCAAACGGTGATTGTGCCGGTTCTTACTTAACACTCTCACAGCCGCTGCCACCCAAATCCAGCCCTGCATCTAGCGTTAAGAGTATGTCGTCTGCTTCCAAGCTCCAAGGAAGCAAGCCATTGGCTTGTGAGAGCTCTTACCTTTCAGAAAAGAACATCTCTGGGAAACATCTGGGCTCCATTTCAGGCACGTCTCCATCCTTAAGTGGGTACAGCCTAGGGAAGAGAGACTTTGATATTTACGTTCCCAGAGAAAATGAGAAACAGTTTGGACATCTGGATAAGTTTCCCTACTCAAAGTATAGTCAGAAGAATAAATCTTACGATAACGTCTACTTCCCAGGAGTGCTGGATGGGCGGAAAAACGCTGCCTCTCTTCTTGCCATGTGGAATGGAAGCTCAGGGAATGAGATAATTCTTTCGCCCCTCGGATGCTCGGGAGCGGCTAGTATGCCCTCCAGCCCAAAGCAAGGCAGGAGGATGAATATTCAAGATCTCCTTTCACTTCAGAGCAGAGCAGCTAAACAGATGGACCCAACCATGGACATGTTGGGGTCTAGAACCAGGAAGTATTCTGGAGGCTCCCTGAGCCATATGGGAGTTTATAGCCGTTCTTTACCCAGGCTTTACAAATCGTCAGAAAGCCAGCTGGTGCCGCTAAGTTTACCCCCAAGGAGCTCCCTTGGGAACACCAAAAGAAAAAAGATTGTGGAAAAAGATCTTCTACCTCAGAGTATACTGGATGCTGACAATTACCTTAACTTTTCTTCCTACACCTCAGGGGTTTTGCCGCATACGAACTTTGCATCTGAAACCAATTCCTATGTGAATTCAACTCTCAGTGTTCCTGCCAGCCCCCGCATAGCTCGGAAAATGCTCCTGGCTTCTTCTTCCCCGTACGGGCCTGACGACTTTGACAGACTTGGACTCTCAGGGACCAGCCCGATCAATTCTTTCACCCCTGTGGATCCCGAGAGAGCGTTCCCTATCAGAAGGAAAGTTTCCAGCAGTTCCATGGAGTTTGAGGAAATGGAGCTAGAAAGCCTCAGGCAGACCCCTTCCGTCCGGGAGCGAAAGAATAGCATTAGTTCTGTTTCCGGAAGGGATGACCTCATGGATTACCACCGGAGGCAGAGGGAAGAAAGGCTGAAAGAACAGGAGATGGAACGACTGGTAATGATACTTTCTGGTTAATTTTTAACAAGACGTTCTGCTTCCAAGCCTTTGCCCAAGTTAAAATTATTAAGTTTTGTGTGTGTGTGTGTGTGTGTGTGTGTGTAGGCGCTCACACGCTGCTGTTGTGTTTTCAGATTTGGGTGTTTGACCTTGTACATGGGTGAGACAGTGTTTACTCTGTCAACCTCTGAAGTCAATTGGCCATGTAGTGTTCTGCCTTGAAATCTGGGCGGTCTAATGAAATCATATGTATGATGTAGGAAATTGATAGGAATTTCAGCCATTCATCCTGCGTGTTCTGCCAAAATGACCATATACTTAAAAGCCACAAATTATAGGCTGCAAGGATACAGCACTTAAAGAAAAAAAGTTGATGTCGTTGTTTTGTGGTGGCTGGGTAAGTAACTCATGTCTCCCGCCTAAGCTGTTTGGAGGCATTCTTGTGTGCATTTTGTTGAAGGGAGCAAACTGGAAAATTTTGTGACAGCATGCAGACCAGAGTATGGTCTGAAGGCATGTGATGGCACCACCTTGTGGGTGGCACTGTGGTCTAAACCACTGAGCCTCTTGGGCTTGTTGATCAGAAGGTCAACGGTTCAAATCCTCACGATGGGGTGAGCTCCTGTTGCTCTGTCCCAGCTCCTGCCAACCTAGCAGTTCAAAAACACACCAGTGCAAGTAGATAAATAGGTACCACTGTGGTGGAAAGGTAAACGGCATTTCCTTGTGTTCAAGGTATTCTGTTGTGCCAGAAGCGGTTTAGTCCTGCTGGCCACATGACCTGGAAAGCTGTCTGTGGACAAACACATGAAAGTGAGATGAGCGTCGCAACCCCATAGTCGCCTTTGACTGGGCTTAACCGTCTGGGGGTCCCTTACCTTTTACCTGCTGAAGCTAAACAGGTCTGGGTGGGTGGCCACCTGGGAACCAAATGTACGCTGCCTCAGGTTCTATATCAGAAGAAAGGCTGAATGTACCGGTAATTGCAAGAAAATAAATAAATAGATTGTTCAGTCGGAGCATATTTCCATTTGGGGGCATCATAGCTTGTGCCAGGCAGTTTTTAAAAATGGTGAGATAGCACAGGACTAACCTTCAAAGCGCTTTTTTTTCCAGGGAGAGTTCACACATGCATGTAAATCACTGCACGACTTGCAGTAAGTATCAAGTGGCGACTTGAATGTGTGAACGAGCCATTCCATAGAAAACAGAGTACCTCAAATAACAGTGGGCTTCATACATGCAGCTGTAAGTCATCAAGCCCGTAAGTGATGAGAAATCTAACAATGTGTGTGCATTCTGCACTGGCTCTAAGCCTCTTGTCATTGGTTTGCAACAGTCAGCAAGTATTCTGGTGGTTCCTGTTCCTAGTGTGTTCTGCTTGAAGGATGGAATGTGCAGAGAAACATGTTTCAGAGGCCTAGTGGGACATTAGAGAGTCATACTAGGTGCCCTGTGGCCGCACACGATAGAGGATATTCAGTGCTGATGTGGGTATACAGAGCTAAAAAGAGAAATCTCTTAATGAGAGATTTGGAGGAATCAGTAATTGTACCCTTGTGAAAGCTTGAGGAATAGTACTTATCATAAAGATAAAATATTTGTTTCTGATTCTGTTTGGCTGCTGTTTCCCTTACAGCAGCACTTTCTTCTCCCTTTTAACAGCTTTCATCCTGTAATAGGATGTAGGCCTGCTGGTTTGTGACATGTGGAAAGAGCCTCGGTGTTTACATATGAAGGAATTTCCTCCCACTTAATTTAGTTTTCCATTTTTAGCATTCTAGAAGGGTAATTGTCTTTCAAGTTGGCCACTCAGAGGGCTGGGATTGAGGACTTTGTGTTCAAACCTTTGAAGGGCGTTAAGAACCAACAATAACAGGTCTGGAAGGAAGCGTGTATTTGTCGGGCAGACCCCTTCCATCCTTGGCTTAATGCTTTTTTCAAAAGGTCAGCTGTTCTGCAGCTTTAATTGTACTATCCTTCAAAGGAGCCTCTTGGTGTTGTGCTTAGTTACAGGGCAAGCCGTGACACCAGACTCGCTCTGCGTTTCTGCGCTGTGTGTGGAGAATCAAGCAAAGAACAATCTAGACCCATTTCAAGTGGATAAATAAGAAGCTAGTTTTAGCATCTTCTCCTCCTTACTTTAAAAAAAAAGTGTTCAGCATTAATTATTCTCAGATCACAATAATTTATTCTGTTTTCTTGAGAACTCATTCAAATGCACAAGTAGGGATGTTACATTTCCAGGAACCTTGTAAGTATGCCATGGAGGATTCACTGCCTCTTCAGGGAAAACAATGAAATAATGTGCAATATTAGTGTCTCACTTTGAGGCTACAATCTTAGGTCCAATTTATGTGGGAGTAAGCCCCATTGAAGCAAATGGGAAATACCTCTGAGTTGGTATGTATAAGATTTCTCTGCAAGAACATAAAATGTCCAACGTCTGGATATAATTCAGGGCTGTTTATTTGATAGTGACAGTGTGGGGTTGCTGGCTTTCTGGGTGGCGCTGTGGTCTAAACCACAGAACCTAGGGCTTGCCAATCAGAAAGTTGGCGGTTCGAATCCCTGTGACGGGGTGAGCTCCCGTTGCTTGGTCCCTGCTCCTGCCCGCCTAGCAGTTCGAAAGCACATCAAAGTGCAAGTAGATAAATAGGTACCGCTCTGGCGGGAAGGTAAACGGCATTTCCGTGTGCTGCTCTGGTTCGGCAGAAGTGGCTTAGTCATGCTGGCCACATGACCCGGAAGCTGTACGCCGGCTCCCTCGGCTTATACAGCGAGACGAGCGCCGCAATCCCAGAGTCGTCCACGACTGGACCTAACGGTCAGGGGTACCTTTACTTTTACAGCACCAGAGGAAGAATTGTTTGACTCTTTCTCCTGCTCTATATTCCTGATCCAACTTACCCCCAATACAGTACTAGGCCCCTGTGAGTTCCACTTCCAATGAGGCAGATAAATGACTAGCAAGCAGGGAGAATTCCAGCTTCTGGAATTGTGCATAGATCCTTTGTTTACCAAGCAGAGATAAAACATAGATTTAACTCATAAAAGCCGAAGCTCCTTCCATTTCCATAGCATGCCTAGTTCCTTGTTGGCACATCAATTCAGGAACAGTAGTCAATATCATGCTTGATCGTGGTACTGACCCCTTTGGCAAGTTAGCATATTTTTAGTAACAGGGTTCTTCTGCGTGTCTGACAAGAGGCAGTGCTGAATCTTCTGGGATCTTTCAGCGACACGTGGCCAAATGATTTGGCCCAGTTGGTTAGCCTTTGCTTCTCTGTGTTCAAGCATTGGACCATGGGATAGCTCAGCTGGTGAAGCAAGAGACTCTGAAAATCAGGGCATGGGTTTGAACCCCACGTCAGGCAAAAAGATTCCTGCATTGCAGGGAAGTTAGACTAGATGAGCCTCATGGTGCCTTTCAACTCTACAATTGTCTGGTTCTATTATTCTGTCTTGCTTTCATGCCTCAGGCTGCTGACATGTTGAAGTTAGGGAATGGACTGCTGAAGAGAAATGGACAGCTTTGCCTCTGGTGTCCAAATTGAGTAAAACCAGTCTGCAGTTTAAGGACGTGCACAGTTTTGCCTCTAGATGGTGCTACTTAATAAAAAAATTCTGTAATAGATACGCAAAAGCACACATAGGGTTGGTTTCAGTTGTTTTGCATCCCATCTCAGTGATTAAAATAGCAAAAAAGGTTATTTATGTATGCCACTACTGCGGCCCGGGTTTTGTTAGCCCTAAAATGGAAAATGAGCATGTCCCAACCAAAGAAGAGTGGCAACTTAAGTTGACAGAATATGCACGGCTTGCAGACTTAACATATAGAATTTAGAGAAGATTGGGAAATGTTTATTGAATATATGGGGGGAAATTGTGTACACTTGAATACATTGGCAGCATTAAGATAAATTCAAGAGCGCAAATAAGTTTTGATAGATGTAATAATGGAATATGGAATGGTTTAGTTTATGTTAAATATGCAGGGATTTATGGTATGCAAAATGAACTATGGAAAGAGAAGAAGGGAAGTCATTGGTATTTTAAGGATGTTTAGATGAGTATTCAAAATTGTAAAACAGAAAATTTAATACAAATTTAATATATACATTCCAGTCCAAGTGATCAGGATATGAAGTTCTCTGTCTGATGTTTAGAGAGCAATCCGGATCCTGGAGATCTAGAGATGAAATCCACTACAGCACTAAGATCAGAACATAAATCAGGCATAGGCAAACTCTGGCCCTCCAGATGCTTTGAGACTACAATTTCCACCATCCCTGACCACTGGTCCTGTTAGCTAGGGATGATGGGAATTGTAGTTCCAAAACATCTGGATGGTCAGAGTTTGCCTATGTCTGATATAAATCTTCTAACTCAAGAGCAGCCAGAAGGATCTCAGTGCTCAGCACCGCAGCACTGAGAGGAGAGATAAAGCCCTCTGCCTGCTCTTTAACAGTAAAGAGTCAGTATTTCATCTGTACCTCAGGGCTGGAGTGGAGGATGTGTGGACATGTTCATTTCATGTTGCACGTAGCTTTCTGTGCAGAGTAAATGGCACACTCCCCAAGCATTGGAGTGGAAAGGGTTGGAAATGCTGATTATGTGTGTATGCATCTGCATGTGTGAATGAAGGGGTGCTGTGTTCCTGCATGTTTGGTGAGTGTGCTGTGTGTGTACATGTGCTAGTTCATGTAGCCCACAGAGAGGCGTGTGGCTGTCAGTGTGACCTTAGGGCTGAAAAAGATTCAATCACTACCCTATCACAGAATCATAGAGTTGGAAAATATAGAGTTAATTTATTCATTTTATATAAGGAGAATGTTCTGATCTGTGCTACATCTTGATTAGGCCCTTGAAGCAAAGCAAAGAGAATAGTAAGGTTTGCTCATCTCCTTGTATCACAAAGATCTCAAGATCTTAAAAAAGGGGAAAATATAGGAATTCGCACACACCAGGATATAAGTGGTCACACACAAACAGGT